TATCTTAGAAACATCTTAGTAGAAAATCGCTCCCTGTCGCTTAAATCTCGGCCAAAGTTAAAAAATCAAATTTTTCAAGCGGAAATTTCCGGAGGTCATGTGATATTCCGTAAATCGACGCCTAATTAAATTTCCTGATGTAGTTTTAAAACTAACCGCGAATGCCAAATTGGTATACAATGTGTCATATGCGATCTGATGACAGAAATCAGCTAGATCACTGACTTGATATATATCCATTCGAGTGTGGCCTAAAAAGCAAAATGCACATCATTCGAGTGTGGCCTAAAAAGCAAAATGCACGTCACACAGGCGCATGTCTCAACGGCTCTCAAGCGACGATACAAATGCAACATATATAACACCTGATATATGTCAGTTTGAGTGTGACCTAAAAAGCAAAATGCACGTCATTCGAGTGCAGCCTAAAAAGCAAAACACACGTCACTCTCGGGTGGGTTATAGTCCATATTAAGTGGTATAAAAGCGAGTCTGATTCAGACTTGCTTTTATACCACTATTGTGATATAAAGAAATTGTTAATGGTCATTACAATTGGCAGTAACATATGAAAAGTAAAAATCTTTGTAAACTTTTGAATCTATATACATAGTAATAATAATCTTATTTTATTAGCTAATACTTATATCAAAAACTTATAAAAAAGTTTATTATTATTTACAAAAAAATCTTCTGAAAATTCTTGTGCTCATAAACAAGATAAAATAATTTTTGACTATCTTATTATTTCTATAATTATTTTTTGACAACAATTTAATTAATTTTAACAATTTTGATTGACTTAAAATCATATGGTTAATTTGATTTTAAAAATATTTAAATTTATATAGAAAATTTTTAAATATTTGGATAAGTTAAATTTACATAAATAAATTTGATTCCAAATTTTTATGTGTCATTTACATTTTTTTTCATGTGACCTGGTTGAATGACTTGAGTTTTGTAATCTATATACTACTCGAATGATGAGGCAAATGCAAAATGCATATCAAGTCACAATATGTTGTACCTGTTTTTGATATGTATCTTGATCACAATTAAGAAAAGTAGTCAAATAATCAAAGAAAGTTAAAAATTCTGTTAAAAGGAAACAAATATCAAACTAAATAGATAACAAAATAGGTACTCAACAATAAGTAAATAATAATATACTCATAAGTAGATATTACTATATCTATAAGTAAGTAACAATATAATATAAATAGATTTCATTATGTAATATAATGAGATCTACTTTAGCCATAAGTCACTAATTAAAATTTTTATATAACCAAACAAATAAATTTTAACTTTAAATTTATAGATTTTTACAAATTTTGTAATCTCTAACTTTATATTATTAAATTATTATTTTTTTAAACATTATATTCTTATAACCATTTATTACAAAGATACTTTTTTAATATTTAATATTGACAGGATTTTAATCTGTCAAAATTTTGTACTCATAAAACTGTATCAAAAATAGTATAAGTGTAAAACCTTTATTAAAAGAAAATTATTTTTTATAACAGTTTTACTAATAAAATTTTAAAATTTAATTTATAGTCTGAAAATTTAAACACAAAAATCGTTGGTTACACAAGTCTATGAAGATCCCTGATATGACCAGTGACTGATGTTATAATGTTTAATAATAATATTTTTCTCTTATTTACTAATAAAGAACAACTGTCAAAAAGTTTATTATTTATATATTTTATTAACAAGCTTCGTTTGTGTAACGATATAATGTCGTAGTTACGTCATATTATTATGTATAACGTCTAATATTTCCGCTTATATCATTAACGTAATTCTAAGATCGTTATTAACTAATCAGTACAAGATGACCAAAAGATCTCAATCGGAACAAGAACTTTTCTCTTTAGATTCAGAAATTTACCAGAACAAAGCTTCAAGTTCAAAGAGAGTACGTTTTTCAGGAAATGCTGCTGAAAAGAATGAATACAATTGGGAGGAGGAAGAAGAAATTGAATTTAATCATGAAGAATCGTTGGAAAAAGTTAAAAGACGTCGCGGTGGTATAAAATTAGAAGGTTATGAAACAGATTCGGATGAAGACGTTAGTGCAGAATTATATAATAGACGTAAAGGCAAGGGAAAAGCAACTAATGTTGACGATGATATGGATGATATGTTTGCAGATGATGAAACTTCGAGTTCCAAAAAGCAATCAGAATTTGATTTTAGTGGAAAGGATGGACCAGATTTAGAGTTTGATGAAATCGACGGTCAGGATTTTACATCTCATGATGCTTATGATGATGAAAGTGGTGAACCGATCATAGAGGCTTTTAACTTGAAAAGTGAATTAGAGGAAGGAAGATTTGATGAAGCGGGAAATTATATTCCACACAAAGATCCAAACGCTTTTCATGACCTTTGGCTTGAAGGAGTCTCAAGGGTGGATATTGAAAAAGCAAGAATTGCTCATGAAAAACAAGAAAAAGAAAGAAAACTTAAGGAAGCACGAGAAGATTCAAATATGCCTATGGATCGGGTTGAAATTTGTAAAGAACTTTTGTCCATAATGAAACGTGGAGAAATTTTATCAGATACATTACAAAGATTAGGAGGAGCTAGTTCTAAACCTAAGAATAAACGAGGACCAAAGCAATATACGAAGAAACCAAAAGGAAAAAATAAGGAACAAGAGCAAGTACTAGAACAAGAACAAGAGGAAAAAGAACTTACACCTGAAGAGAAAAAAGAACAAGATCGTAAAAAATTGATTGAACGTCTCACCGATTTATCTGTAATGGCAATGAATTATTTTAATGTTTATGAAGATACCTGGGAACAAATTTTAAGAAAATTAAAGAGGGAAGGATCCGTACCAGAAGATTGGATGCCACCTTCTGATGAGAATCAAGATGATAATAATAATAATAATAATAATAATAATAATAATAATAATAATAATAATAATAATACACAATGGGAATATAAGTGGACAGATGATTCAGGTGGGGATGTTAATGAAATTTATGGCCCATTTTCAGGAGAGGATATGAAAGCTTGGAAAGATCAAGGATATTTTGTTAATGGAGTAATGGTACGCAAAGTAGGATCAGGGAATGAATTTGTTAGTGTAACGGAAATTGATTTTTAGATTTCAATTCAATAAAAAAAATATTAAGATTTTTAGACAAAAAAAAAAATATAGTTAATTTCAATTTTATTTTATTGGAATCATTATTATAATTTTAAAAATGAAAAAAAAATGATATTTTTTACTTTTGGAAATTATTATATACATTGCAATTTCTATTATGAATTACAGGAGTTGATTGATGTTTAATGCTAATGCTAATGTTAATGTGTATTTATTATGTATGAAATAACGTACAAATTGTTCAAAAAAAATTGTAGAAAAAAAATGTTCAAGAAAAAAATATTGTTCAAATTGAAAAAATAGTTCGTTGCCCCCTCGATTAGAAAAATTGTAATATATGAAAATATGTTATTGTTAACACATAGCTTCACTCTTCATTCATTCTTCCATTATCGTTATTGATTCATTCTTTATTCGCTCTCCATTACATTTACCATTTGCTCTCTGTAATTCATTCTAATTCATTCATTACTCCCTCTCCATTATTATTTATCATTCATTTCCCCCTATTCGCCTTATATTATTATTATTAATTCATTTATATTGATGATGATGCTGATTGCATCTTCCAATTCACATATGATAGTGAATTGGTGAAGAACACGAATTGCATAAATGATGTTTATCGGTATTAATGTTGAGGGAGGAGATCGAAGGAGTAGAAGAAGGATAAGACGTTATACGATAGTTAATGAAGAGTGGGAAGGAGATAGAGTCGGATCTTATGGAGGAGGAGATGGCTGTGGATTTTATTGAGGAAGTGGAGGATGTGAAGGATGTTGGAGTCGAGACCGTCCAAGTATTTAAAGGAGTGACATTGGATGCTTTTTGTTGTTCGAGCTGTTTCTTCCTTGCCCTGGCTTTTTGTGCCGACCTATTGTCAAAATAATATTCAAATAGAACATTGTTTAATAAATTAATTAATAGTAATAAACGAAAAATAAATAGTCTATTATAGTATACCTTCTCTTAGACTCCAACATCCTTTGACGTCTTTCCTCGTCATTTTTAGGACGGTTGGGGTCATTATCCCAACGAGTTCCACGGGGCGGTTCAATTTTATGTTTTTCTTTAAGGTGGCGACGCAGGATTGATCGGGAGTTCTTTCCCCGGTATACTTTTCCACATTCTTCACAAGTGACTTCCTTCACCTGTAGAAAGGTTTTATTTTGCAAAGGAGTGACTAAGTAAGTTGTAAAAGTATCTACGGAATTAATGGAATTACAAGGGAGTTCTGAATTATGGTGATGATTATTTGAGGTAATGGAAGGAGGGTTTTGAGAACAAGAGAAGGTAGGTAGTAATGGTAAAGGGATTCGGCGTGGAGTTAAATCAGGTTGTATAGGAATAGGACGTATAGGAGTAGGGCGTATAGGAGAAGTAGGACATATAGGAGAGGAAGTTGAGGAGGAGCAGGCGGAAGCAGAAGGTGTGGGCGGTGTGGGGAATATCAAAGGTGGTAATTTTAAGTCACAAAATGACGAAAGATTTCCTGGAGAATACATTTTTATTATAAAATAACTTTTATTATTAACTTTTATAAAATCACACACAAATAATAACTAATATTAAATTGAAAGTTATAGTATCTTAATAATTTGAAGGGAAAAAAAGAAAGGAGAAAAAAAGGAGAAATTGAAGGGTTTAAATATTCGTTTGATGTTTTGGTGACGCCACATGTTGCTTCAATTGTTTACAGGAAAAATTATTTTGAACAAACATCGAACATTTTTGATAAACACATCTCGAACACTTGAAAAAACGCGTTGGATTAATTTCAGTAATGATTGACGTTCGTCAAACTGAGAAATAGGCTGTAGCGTTAGAAAATCGCGTAAAAACGCGTACCGAATATCACGTACTAGGTGATACATTACACAATTCATCACATGATAAAAATGAATTCATTTTAAATCGCAACCACGTAGAAATCTTTAAACTGGATAAAATGAGAAGACAAAGGTACAAAGGTATGTAATTTTTCATATTAGAAATAGGGGAGCATGTACGCGCCAAGATGATATGCGGAATTAACAATGAACTTATGAAAAAAAATGAAATAGATGAAATTTCTTTTGTTCTGAAAGACAAAGTTCATTCTTTATTAGGTGATTTTGAATATTATTTCTAAATAAATAGCCAATTTCTAACATCAAAGGTATGTTTTTGTATACTATGGTTTCAGTAATGGAAGGTTCTTTTGTTAACTGAAGTTTCCTTGTTCAGGAATCCATCCATTATTATCAAAAAATATTCTGATCTGGTTTAGAGAGTTCTTTTCAAACTTTTTTTTTGAAAAATCTTGACTAAACAGCCATGCATCTAAAAACTTCATTGTAATATTCCTGTAACTATACATCAAAATTATTGAATTGAGTCATACACAATTAAAAATTGTGAAATTTTCATTTATATAGTAAATAATGCAATTATTGAGTTAGAGGTTTTGAATTTAAATTATATGTATGTCTGTAACCCTATATATAATTTTAATATTTTATTATCAAAAGTTCCTATCAGATGACTGAATCATTTAATATAATAAAAAAATAAATTATAAGATGGTTTGACTTTTCAGTTTTAGATAACTGTACACAATAATATAATCAATAATAATAAAAAATGTTATACATATAAAAATTAATGTGTTACTATGTGAACAATATAAAATAAAATATGGGCTCTGGTTTGCATAGTCTAAGTGGCTAGTGCGCCAGAATCTTGTCATAAGGTCAACGGATCGATTCCAGCTGTATGCATGGACAA